CCCTCCGATTGTACACCCCGCGATATTGTTATGCACGTCGTTAAAAAACCACGTTTTTTCTTCTTCTCTTTGTTAAATATATGCTTTAACCTTTGTTTTGATTGTTAATAAATAAAACCTTACTTATATCCGTAAACTTTTGTTGTTTATGATTTTGGTAACCTGCACGGAAGGCTGACAGCGAGTCGCCTACTGACAATCAAACCAAAATGATAATAAATATAGCATTGTGATAATGTTATCACTTATCCGAACGAAGTGAGGAAAACATTTTTTTATGTACGTACGAACATTTTCAATAATACGAACAAAAACGAACATTTTGCGATAACTATCCGAACTTTCTCACATTTTAACCTGGCAACACTGCGCAGTGGTATGGCGGGAGTCGTAACACTGTATGAATATTGGCTTTAACAAGCTCGTCAATAGCATACTTAGTATGTAGTGTCTTTAATCGTTTTACTATGTACAAAAGTTGAGGGATAACCATAGTTCGGTCTACCATTTCTTCTTTATCCTCCAACCACTTGATAATATCCGCCTTTCGTGTATTCGATGTTGGAGCTTTGTCTATTTTCACTGAATGCTAGGACGCTTTGTCCATAACAACTACAGAGTTCGGTTTTAGGCGAGGTAGAGTGCCCTCCATCCATCCATCAAATGTGTCTCCATTCATCTCATCGTGGTAGCTACTTGTATATTTTTTTAATTCAAAACACAACAAACCACCTTGTACAAAACCATCTTCAGAGCCGATATGGAGAACAATAAGTCGTTTCCCTTTGCCAGAGGGATTAACAGGGGATTTCATCTATTCCGCCAGACCTTTTTATACTTGGGTATAATGCTCATCGATTCCGCCAGTACAGGTAGTCTAAAAACGACCTATCGATTCCGCCAGGGAAAAAATAATCTTCCCGAACATTTTAGTTTTATTTTATTTACATAGCTATATTATAAATATTATATAAAATACCTGTATACAATTTTTAACGTTAATTGACGATAATCTAACTTGTATACGCGTAATGATGCGAAAAACGACTAAGGGCCGTTTCACATGGGCGCGTATCGTACGCGCGCGTTTCTTACGTCGTGTTCAGAATTACGTTATTTATATTGGCCGTTTCACATGGACGCGTATGAAACGTGACGCGTTTTTGGATACGCGAGCGAAACGCGTCCCCGTACGCGGCGTGTATCAAACGCGAGCGTGCAGGCTATTACATAACAACGACAGGTTTCACATATAGTCTGTCCCACGAGAGAATAATCAGTCCGCCGACCAATTTTCGTCCGGGTTGGCGCATACCCCTACTCTGGAGACCACGTTCGAGCGGCTACGTCGCGCGTCGGTGCTCGTCGGTCGTCGGGTCACGCCGCGTCGGTGCGTGCCTGTCGTCGGTGCACGCCGATCGTCGTTTGAGTGGGAAGAACCACTTGTGGAATGCCACTGTTATAAAATATTATAGTATGTGCAAATACGTAATTAAGGGAGTGGGCAATATTGCCCGTAGGAGGTTCGTTTTAGTGGCGCCAAAAAAAA